CGGAAGAGTTTCAGAATGGGGAAGGCTTTGGCTATATTGTGGCTTTCCGACCCAATGGAACACGTGGCTGGAAGGAAAAAATGGTGACATCTTCTGAAGCTTCAAAATTCATTTATCGAGATGAAAGTGTCCCTCCTCTTACTCCCTTTGAAGTGAAGGTTGGCGTTTATAACAATAAAGGAGATGGACCTTTCAGTCAAATTGTGGTCATATGTTCAGCTGAAGGAGGTCAGTTTTTTTCATTCTTATTATTTTCATTTAACATTTTACTATTTTATTTTGGTACATGAATGTGACACTGTTGTAATATATTAGATAATACAGGTACACCAAAAGCGAAAATAAAACTTACCCATAGTCCTACTACACTTTTTAGATATATTTTTCCAAAATTTTTTCAAAATAATTTTTATTGAAAAAAATTGATCATTCCATATACTTTGCTTTATGTTCTTCACTCCCTGATGATGTATGGCAAATATCTTTCCATGACAATACAATATTAGTAACGCCTGTAGAATATTCTCTGGATGGATGGACATTTAACCATTCTTCTCTGTTTCACAATTTAGATCATTTTCTATTTTAACCTTATTCTAATTTAAATTTAGAAATTTAGATAACTTCACTTTTAATTGAAAATTTTAACTTATGTGAAATAAATTTAAATAAAGACTCCAATAACTATTTATTACTAACCGCATACACAAAACAGCTGACTGATAAAGAAGTATCAGACAGGATTTTTTGTTTGAAGCTTTTCACACATGGTATCATTAAATCCTCACAACAATCTTGTCTAACAGGCTTTATTATCCCCATTGTAAAGAAAGAGAAATTGAAGTCCAGAAAAGTTAAGGGACTTGTTAAAAAAAAAGTTAAATAGTTTCTAATTGAGAATTAAACCCAGTCCTTTCAATCATTAAATCCTTGATTTGTCTATAGCAAGCTGCCTTCATACGTATAACCTCATTTAATTCTCAGTATAAACCTACTAGGTAGGCAAGACCTAGGCAGGAAACCCATTTTACAGATCAGTAAACTGTAAATCTGTGACTTATTCATGGTTACAGTAAACAGGTGGTAGTGCTAGAGGGCAAACTCAGTTTCCTACATCAAAATCCTTGGTTCTTTCAAGTTTTAATCCAAAAATGCATTTTCTGAGTGAGAGAAAGCTTGATAGAGCTAACTCCCTAAAGTTAGCTTTTCTGCATAGTCCTTCGTCAATTCAAGTGCATAATTTCAATTGGCCCTGCAAGTAAGTAAAATCCCTTACAGTCCCTAAACCTGACAGAAGACTGAGATAATGTTACACCAAAGGCAACACACATTTGACCTTCCAAATAATTATTGCTTTCTCATAAACTGACACTTTTACTTCCTTTGTGCCCACATGTGTGACTTGAATAGCTTAAGAGAATTACCAATCTTTTTGGTACGGGGAATTCATGGTGGGGGAAATAAGTAAGGTTGTCTGAATACTGAAGCACAAAGGTAGTGTCTAATTTATGTAAGATGTAGTTTTTCAGCACCAGCTGCCTTGTACTTTATGACATAGAGCCAAATTTTGAAGGAGAAGTAGAAAGTTTTTCCTAGTATAAGAATGAACAGGAAAGTGAAGAATCAAGTAATAATAAGGAACCATAGGTGTTCTTATGAGATATTCATGCACTTAGCATCTCAAGTTTCTGATGTTTTTTCAGATAGTATAGCCAGGCTCCACATTACTTATATTAACTCTTACAAACAAATATGAGGTAGGAATCTCAAGCTGCAATCTATTTTGCAGGAAACTGAGACTCAGAGAGGCTAAGTAACATGCTCAAATGAACCCAGTAAATAACAAAAGTTATAAGTAACTGTAGTAAGTGACAGGGCTGGAATTTGAACACAGGTCTGTATGACTCCAAAGCTAATGCTTTTAATCACTACCCTATACTTTCTCATCAGGAGTGTCTTTAACAATAATGTTTCATTATTGTATTATGTTAGTGTATATAATAATAATATTTTACATCATTTGTTACTCTGATATCTGTTTTAAAGTACGTCTTATTCAGGAAGTGCATATTCTTGTGGTTTTAATTTATTTAACCTAACTATAAAGTGCATGGTCTCAAATGTCACATGAGATGAATTGGACAGGTGTGCACATGCTTCATATGGTAACACCAGTGTTGTCTTTAAGAAATCCAGATTTGTACGTTCCTTGTCAACCTTTGCTTTAAAATTAAATTATAGCAGCCACCATGGGTTATTTATAGTGTGTTTTCTTAAATTTGAAATGGCTTGCTTTTAGAGATTTCTCTTTCCAGCTAGATAGGAAATATGCATATTTTCTTTCAAAGACACCGAGGTTGTTGCTGTAGCATATTTCACAGTAACACTTCATTTACTTTGGTGGACTGAAATATGAAAGATACCAGGCAAATTAAATCCAAATATTGGGAGGAGCTTCAAGATGGCGGAGGAGTGAGACGTGGAGATCGCCTTCCTCCCCACAAATACATCAGAAATACATCTACATGTTGTACAACTCCTACAGAACACCTACTGAACGCTGGCAGAAGACCTCAGACCTCCCAAAGGCAAGAAACTCCCACGTAACTGGGTAGGGCAAAAGAAAAAAGAAAAGACAAAAGAATAGGGATGGGACCTTCACCTCTGGGAGGGAGCTGTGAAAGAGGAAAAGTTTCCACAAAATAGGAAGCCTCCTCACTGGCAGAGATGGTGGGGGTGGGGTGGGGGAATATGCAGAGCCACACAGGACAGCACAGCAATAGCGATGCAGAGGGCAAAGCAGATAGATTCCCGCATAGAGGATCAGTGTTGACCGGCACTCACCAGCCCAAGAGACTTCTCTGCTCACCAGCTGGCCGGGTCGGGTGAGGGCAGGGCGCTGAGGCTTGGGCTTCAGAGGTCAGATCCCAGGAAGAGGACTGGGGTTGGCTGCATGAACACAGCCTGAAGGGGGCTAATGCACCACAGCTAGCAAGGAAGGAGTCCGGGAAAAAGTCTGGACCTGCCTAAGAGGCAACAAGACCATTGTTTTGGGGTGCACAAGCAGAGGGGATTCAGAGCACCACCTGCCTAAACGAGCTCCAAAGACGGCGCAAGATGCTGCTATCAGCACGGACACCAGAGATCGACATGAAACACTAAGGCTGCTGCTGCAGCCACCAAGAAGCCTATGTGCAAGCACAGGTCACTATACACACCTCTCCTCCCAGGAGCCAGTGCAGCCTGCTACTGCCAGGGTCCCATGATCCAGGGACAACTTCCCCTGGAGAACACACGGCATGCCTCACTCTGTTACAACGTCATGCCACCCTCTGCTGCCACAGCCTCTCCCCGCATTCCATACCCCTCCCTCCCCCAGCTTGAGTGAGCCAGAGCTCCCTAATCAGCTGCAACTTTAACCCTGTCCTGTCTGAGTGAAGAAGAGATGCCCTCAGGTGACCTACATGCAGAGGCGGGACCAAATCCAAAGCTGAACCCCAGGAGCTGTGCGAACAAAGAAGAGAAAGGGAAATCTCTCCCAGAAGCCTCAGGAGCAGCGGATTAAATCTCCACAATCAACTTGATGTACCCTGCATCTCTGGAATACCTGAATAAACAATTATCTCAAAATTGAAGCGGTGGACTTTGGGAACGATATATATATTTTTTTTTTTCCTTTTTCTCTTTTTGTGAGTGTGTATGTGTATACTTCTTTGTGTGATTTTGTCTGTATATCTTTGCTTTTACCATCTGTCCTAGGGTTCTGTTTCTTCATTTGGTTTTGTTTTGTTTTGTTTTGTTTTCCATTTAGTATAGTTTTTAGCACTTGTTATTATTGGTGGATTTGTTTTCTTGGATTGGTGACTCTCTTCTTTCTTCCTTTCTTTTTTTAAATTACTTTTTAATTTCTTTTTATTTTTAATAATTATTTTTTATTTTAATAACTTTTATTCTATTATTTTTTCATTCTTTCTTTTTTATTCTGAGCCGGATGGCTGACAAGGTCTTGCTGCTCTGGCCAGGTATCAGGCCTGTGCCTCTGAAGTGGGAGAGATGAGTGAAAAACATTGGTCCACCAGTGAGCTCCAGGCTCCACATAATATCAAACACCCACAGATCTCCCAGAGATCTCTATCTCAACACTAAGACCCAGCTCCACTCACCAACTAGCAAGCTACAGTCCTGGACACCCTATGGCAAACAACAAGTGAGACAGGAACACAACCCCACCCATTAGCAGAGAGGCAGCCTAAAATCATAATAAGGTCACAGACAACCCAAAACACACCAGCAGATGCAGTCCTGCCCACCAGAAAGACAAGATCCAGCCTCATCCTCCAGAACACAGACACTAGGCCCCTCCCCCATGGAAGCCTACACAACCCACTGAACCAACCTTAGCCACTGGGGACAGACATCAAAAACAATGGAAACTATGAACCTTCAGCCTGCAAAAAGGAGACCACAAACACAGAAAGTTAAACAAAATGAGAAGAGAGAGAAACACACAGCAAATGAAGGAGCAAGGTAAAAACCCAACAGACCAACCAAATGAAGAGGACATAGACAGTCTACCTGAAAAAGAATTCAGACTAATGATAGTAAAGATGATCCAAATTCTTGGAAATAGGAAAGAGAAAATACAAGAAACAATTAACAAGGACCAAGAAGAACTAAAGAGCAAACAAACAATGATGAGCAACACAATAAATGAAATTAAAAATTTTCTAGAAGGAATCAATAGCAGAATAACTGAGGCAGAAGAATGGATAAGTGACCTGGCAGATAAAATAGTGGAAATCACTACTGCAGAGCAAAATAAACAAAAACGAATGAAAAGAATTGAGGACAGTCTCAGAGACCTCTGGAACAGGATTAAACACAACAACATTCGAATTATAGGGGTCCCAGAAGAAGAGAAAAAGAAAGGGACTGAGAAAATATTTGAAGAGATTATAGTTGAAAACTTCCCTAATATGGGAAAGGAAAGAGTCAATCAAGTCCAAGAAGTGCAGAGAGTCCCATACAGGATAAATCCAAGGAGAAACATGCCAAGACACATACTAATCAAACTATCAAATATTAAATACAAAATATTTTAAAGCAGCAAGGGAAAAAAACATAACATACAAGGGAATCCACATAAGGTTAACAGCTGATCTTTCAGCAGAAAGTCTGCAAACCAGAAGGGAGTGGCAGGACATATTTAAAGTGATGAAAGGGAAAAA